GAGAGAGAGAGAGAGAGAGAGAGAGAGAGAGAGAGCGAGCGCAAGAGAGCTACATATGTCAACAACAGGCCTCCTGAAACTGCCCAGAAAATGGTGTGATGACTTTTATCTCCTTAGATTATAACGTCATGGCCATTTTACCCTGATTGCTTCTTATTTTGTCTGAATGATGTGTGCTGTGTTTGCTGTGGCCTTCAACTGATGCTGCTTGAGACAAACACTGTGTGATGCAGTTCAGAAACATTCTGTAATACCAAAAAAACTGATGTGTTTAATAAAAAACAAAACAAATAACAAAGCTGTAGATCTGAACATTTTGTTTTTCCAAAGTGAAACATATCATTAAAATGATGTTGAAGGTTTTCAGGCAAAGAAAAAAACAAAACATGCACCACATGTTTTATATTTTTAAGTAATAGTGAAAAAAATCTATGTGATTTCCATATTATCTCTACTTTAGAGTCCAATATTAATAAATGTCCAACCACAGTCATGGTGTTGATACAATAAAAACATCAGTCTGACTCCAGGGGAAAGTGTGTGAAAGTTATCTATATAAAATGAAGGACCTATGTAAAAAACACACAAACAAAACAAAGACTCTGTCATACTATGGTTGTTCTGTTTGATTTCATGCCAATATTTGTGCTTTTGTCCAAACAGAATGGGGAACACAGAAAGACACAGGCTTTTATTGTTGTTGTTGTCATTTTTTTCCCAGGCCATTAAATAGTTTGTGGAAAATGAGCCTGCTAACATAGTTTGGGCAGCCTTAACTGTTACCAGAAATTTTTGTGCGACTGTGTATTTATTGTTGGAGGAGGAACACATTTCTTCTCAATGCTGTCTGTTTGCGACTGTTTTGCATAGTGAGAAAATGCTGAATGACTAAGTTCCCAAACCTTACACAGTCTCCTGAGGCAGTGTTTCTGGACTTGGCTCATATTCGGCAGACAGTTTGGGGTTGGTTTACGCTGAACTTTTGTCAGTGAAACAGGAAAGAAGGCCCACCCACCCGCAGTGTTGACAGCAATTCATTAGACACATGTGATGCCATAACTTGAAGTCATCTTAGATGATTTAGGAATGTAAAATGTGTATTAGACAGGCATATTTATTTATAGCATATGCGTATACATTAGGTTGTATAATCATGAAAGATATATTTGGGACGAGCTGAATAGGGGAAGGGACTGATAAGCATATGCTTCCTCCTTCTGCTTTTTGAACAAGACATTTTTGGAGTAACATTTTACTTTTGCTTTTCCTCATTAATAGGATGGCTTTAAACAATTTCATGTTTATTTTTGTTATATGTATTTACAATCATTACTCATATTTTCAAAATAAAGATGCGATTGACTGATTGATAGATTGATTGATAAATGGAACAGGTTTGCTCATTTTTAATAATGTTATAACGATGTAGAACTACCATTAAACTCATATGACTACTTTATGCTCTATCTAGTCTATACTGGCCTTTGCCTTCTGTAGGCTGATTATTTTGGAATACAAAAGTTAGTGATTATCTGGTGACTATATGGAAAACAATTTATTTAATTTGTGACAAAATATTCGATTGACACAATGCCAATTCCCATCTCTCACCATCTCTGTGTGTTTCCACCAAAAAACAATTTGCCTCATTGTCTACAAGATATGATACATGTGAAATTAACCAGATGTAGCCCACAGATTCTGTTCAGCATGATTTGCCACAACTTCTGAAAGAAAGACATCATTAAAGAACTAGCATTGTACCAGCACTGGTGCAGCGTTGGTGGAAAAGAGGTCAAATATGCATCTTTAGTGTAGCACAATTAATGCACCATGTGCATGTGGTACAGGTGCAAAGCAGAGACAACTGGAGCTGAACCACTAATATGGTATTTCTGTATGTTTACTTACACTGTAAGAGTGGTCAGGGTCTGTGTCATGTGTGACATAAAGTATGCAGCAGTCTTTGCAACAGCAAAGAGATGTTTCCATGGAAAACAACATTGTCTCCCCTTCTGTGTGTGTGTCTGTGTGTGAGAGTGCATTTGCTCTGTTATGTTTATTGTTCCACAGCTTTGGAGTGGTAGCTTCCAGTTGACTGATATACGTGTGTTCACGTCCTGTTGCTGCCCGAAAAGGCCAATCAGGGCCAGTGTGGCCACGCAGGAAGTTCTCTGTACAGTTGCTGAGTGAGGGGGGATGTAACATCTTAGTCACAAAGTCAATATAGACACTTTCCATAGTTCCTCCCATGGTTTGCTGAGTGAAAAATTTGTCCCATTAGTCAAATGTCCTACTGCCTGTTTGGATAATGACTTTAATGAATAGAGTTGAGCATCATGTTGCCAGCTACATTTATGAAAGATGGAAAAGTCAACAAGTTATAAAAAATCTGCTGAACAGCTCACATCCAGAACATTTATAAAATACCAGTTTCCTCTGTTACACTAACACAGAGTTTTGACAAAACAGGAAGTGATTCTTAGCTATAACAACATATGACTGCCAGATGTGAAGATCTGTTTTTCATGAGGCCACAAAAATAATTCTGTTTTACTAATTTACTGTGAATAAGTGTTACCTCCCAGTAAGGATCAGCTGATGGCTTTGCAGCACACTGAAAACAAAAACACTAACAAAACAAAGAAGATGGAGACAGGACAAGGAAATGACTGCAACGGCTGCAGATAAGAAACAAAACACCACAATCATGGATTCACTCTTGGAGGAAAATAGGAAGGAAATTAGGAAGTACATTCACATGGCTCTTTTGTATAGATTTCAATTTCAGTGAACTTTGACCTGTGAATACTTGTTCAAAAATTCCAAACCATCCTGAAAGTGTTGACCTTTGACAGAATAGATAAACCTGCAGGATTAAGTGCCAGTGTTGTTTAACGAGTACATATCTTTTGCAGAGGCATTTTTATGGCTGATAGAGTTGCCTGTGAAATAATTTTAATCTGCATCCTTGGACAGCACCAAAGAAGAGCAACAAAATGCTTTGATTCTGTTTTTTTGATGTGGTTATACACACACACAAATGACACAAATGACTGTTTAGCATTTTATAAAACAAACATTTCAATTCACTAACAAAACTGTTTAAGGATGACTAGGTGATTAAAATTAAAAAATAAAAATACAAAGAATGAGTAATGATTATGTATTCGGAAGTAGCATGTTCATAATGAATGTGATCACCTCCACCACATGCGGTCTAAAACATACTAACATATCATTGTACGATTCTCTCTGTATTGTATTCATTGGTGGAGAAGTGATGGAGATAGGATTGAAAGACTCTGAGCCAAAGTGTAGATCAAGAAAAAGACGGATGAAAGTGCAAGGCCAGACTCCATACAGTCTAATCTAAACAGTTTACACTTAGGCATCCCCCACAACGCACACAGATGTCCTCCATTTAACTTGTATACACACACACTTTTGTACTGAGATGCAAACACAGACATTTTGATGAAGTTGTACAAATGCAAATAAACAGGGCTTATTGCAGTCACATAGAAATTCATGGTAAAAATGCTTTGTGTAGCACCATTTCTCTAATGCATCCTCTTGCACTGAGGAAAAACAACAACTGACATAATAAGATACTAAGGGCCTTGTATAAAGCGAGACGTGCAATGAAATAAAATAAGATATAGTTTGGGCTCAGAGAGCGAAAACTCTACCAGTGATAATGTCAGTAGGAGCTCCTGAACCAGAGCAACACACCTTTGAAAGTGATTGTGGACATTGTTGGGTTTTCTTCTTTAGAGAGGCGTTTTGGGTTAAGTATGATGGCAAGTGTAAATATCCCTTTCTAACTTCCTGAATTCAGATGCATGCAGACCTTGTGAAAAAAGATTCATTGTACTCTAAAAAAAAAAAGAAAGTCACATTTAGATCTGATGTACAAACTGTTCAATAATTCTGTTTATTTGCAAGCAATACAAAGAAATATACTTAATGTGAATGTATGATAAACAAAAGGGAAAAAGCCCAAAACATTACTGATATAATGCAACAAATACAGCAAAAAAAAGTAACAACATGGCAAATTTTAAAAGAAGACAGTTAAGTCAGTCATTCTTAGACAAAATCAACATGTTTGTTTTTTTTAGAAATGAATATCTTAGCTTTTTTTATTCTATTAATGTAACCAAAATTGAATTTTTACCAAAGAAAAAAGGTTAAAGAGTACGAGCACTAAGTATGATCTCTAACCTAGCTGACCTAATAAGCTTCCGTTCTATATTTATATTTTCAAAATGAGGATGTAAAGACATGTTGGCAGTTTGTCACTTACAAGAGTCTATTTATGTCAGTAGAACGAGTCCCATTAATAACTCTATTCATAATATGTGAGTTTTAGTGCTTCAGCGAGGAACTGTATGAGAAATGTAAATGAAAGTGAGGAGAATTAATGAACTTATGCCTACTGTAATTTGCTCATATGTTCAAGAAATATCAATAACAATCTAAAACACATCTATAAAAGAAAACTAAAACCAAAGAAACACAAATAAAAACAGAATGCCCCGTAGTGGAATACCAACTTAAAACAATCATCAGTGATTTAAAGTGACTGTGTGCCACTGTGGAATAAGCAAGCTGACTTGAAGAGAAATGTTGTGTACAATCTTATAATAAATATATCATCAATCCCTTTCTACAACACTGTTAAAGAAAAAACCTTTCAAGTGTAGATTCTCTCTTTCTGCCCAGCGAACTTTAGGGTCACATTGAGCCTATTCAGAGCATTTGCTAAATTTTCATCAATGTTTACAAAAAAAAACTCTCAATGAGAAAAAGAAAAAAACAGATGAATGCGGTACAAGAGCAACTACTGCTAAAAATGACCATGGTATATCTGTATGGTTAGTTTCCAAGTATTTCAGAGACTTAGGGTCTGGGGTGAGTTAATTGATTCAGGTTTAACATTTTTCAAAAGTGAACCTGTCATTTGGACAGCTCCCGGTAAACAGTCAGAAACTGAAATCCTGAATTCTGAAGTAGCAACATACAAATGACTACAATATGGCCATGTTCAGTCTCCTGAACAGACAAGCTGCAAAAAGAAAATGACTGCAATTACTTAACCAGCTGAGCATGCAAAGTACAGTGCTGCTGTGGACTGCCTTTTTATTTTAGTTTTCTCTCCTTATCTTATGTACAGAGGTCAGTTATTGCAATTTGGTTATTTATTTTTTTTGCTTAGGTAAGTTTGATAAATATTTCATATCGTTTCTTTTTGTTTGTTGTTTTGGTATAAAGGCCACCCTGAAGTTACACCCAGCTCCTTATTAGTGTTCCATCCTAAAGAAATAACATATTATAAAAAAAAAAAAAAAAAAAAATCATTGTAAAATTGTACCAACTGTGTGATGTGGCTGCTTGAAGTCTGATTAGGATGGGCCACCTTTATGTTGTGGTCTGGCTGGATCACACCAGACATGTTAAATAAAAAAAACTTAACTAGAACCTGTTTGACTAAATGAAATAGGCTATAAGTCCTTAAAATGAAATAATTCATACCATGATCTCAAGAAACCCAAGAATAAATGTGAACAAATTCACTGTATACACATTCATCTATAAATCTGAAAAGAGTTACAAAGGGATTTCTAAGGCTTTGGGACTCTAGCAAATCACAGTGAAAGCCATTATCCACAAATAAAGAAAACTTGTCCTGACACTTACTAGGAGTGGCCAGCCCACTGCAAGCACATAGAACGAAGGTTTTGGAGTGGTATAGGATTGCCTTAGACTGCTCATACTAGAAAACCTTCCAATAAATTAAGTTCTGCAAAGAAAAGTGGGCAAAGAAATTCCTCCACAGTGTTGTACAAGTTCTTGCAGCCAAAGGTGGTGCAACCAGTTATTAGGTTTAGGGGGCAATTACTTTTTTACATAGGGCCAGGTAGGTTTGGATAGCATTTTCTGCTTAATGAATTAAAGCATCATTTAAAAACTGCATGCTTTGGCTATTTCTATCTAAAATTAAAATGTGGTTGATCAAGTGAAATATGTAAGTATAACAAATATGCAAAACTGAAATTAAATAAAGTAAATAAAATAAAATAAGAAATCGTGAAGGAGACAAATAATTTTTCCCCAGCACTGAGTGCTTGGGCCCAATGTAAGTATTCATTAAATCATTAAAACAGCAAATCAATGCCTTTTGTACAGGGAAAACCAGTTAACAGTCAGCATCAGCTTCAGTGTGAGCATTCATGCTTAGTCTGTTTTGATGCATACGTTCTAGTATCCGATGTATGCTGCTGAAGCTGGGCCTGTCTGATGGGTGTGTACTCCAACAGAGCCTCATCAGATTATAGAGCTCCAAAGGACAGTTCTCAGGACAGGAAAGAATGTGACCATCCCTCACATAGTAAATAACCTCCTCATGACCCATACCATAATATGGCTGCATCCCATGTGAGAAGATCTCCCATAACACCACACCATAGGCCCACACATCTGACTCTGTAGTATAGCGATTGTAGAATATAGACTCTGGAGGCATCCAGCGAATGGGGATGGCATCATTTTCATTGGCTTTGTAGTAATCAGCTGAGTAGATGTTTCTGGAGAGGCCAAAGTCTGCAATCTTTACCACCATTTCCTCTCCAACCAGGCAGTTCCGTGTCGCCAGGTCACGATGGACAAACTTGCGCTCAGACAGGTATGCCATTCCTGCAGCAATCTGCTTGGAAATCAATAACTGCTCTGTACAAGAGAGAAGCCCGGCCTCCAGCTCAGAGGAGAAACTGCGACCCGACAAGCTAGCACGACTGAGGGTGCGCACTGACTGGGTTGGAGATCTGCGACGCAGGAACTCATTGAGGTCACCATGGGCCATATACTCAAACATCAGACACATTGGTTTACCCACTGCACACACACCTGAGGAGAGAGCACACAGAAAACTATTTGATGGCCTATTATATAGATTAGCATTTTTGATTTTCCCACCACAGATGTTTTTAGAGAACAAACACAAATATTTACCATAAACACATCAGTCCCATCAATGAAAACACTAAAAATTAACAGTTTTTCTTCTACAGTATCACATAATGAGTTCATTCACCTTAAAATGCCAAAAAGAAAAAAAAAAATTACCCAGACATAAACACAGATGGGCATGTACTCACAAATAAGTCATGCACAAGTTCCTACTTCTACTTTAGTGGATCTTTGATATAAATATGATATATTTATATTTGACAAATTAAGTTTCTACTTTTTCTGGACTTTTTTTCTTCTGAGCTGGTGTTGGGGAAATGATGGCAAATGAAGGCAGATTATTAAATTGAGAGTGTAATGACTGAGGCTGCTCATGATATAAATATCACTTGTGATTAATACAAGTTATTTGAAATGTTGTGTTTACATTTTTAACAGTAAGGGCTTCCACAGGCTTTGGATGTTTGCTGAGGACAGAACAAACAGTGCTACAGTATCTTTAAAACGACATGGATTTATTTGTTAAATGCCAATTTATACTGAATATAGTGGGCATGCAAACTTTATTTGACAGAACTTCCATACTTATTGGATAACAATTTAAACTGCAGGAGTGAGATGTCAACTTTAAAAAACAAAACAAAAATCAAGCATATGAATGAGGTCTTTGGTGAAACAGGATCTTGGCAAAAGTGACAAAATTCATTCTACTTTATTTCCTCCTTATTTACTACAACTCTATAAAAGAGTGTCTGTCTGCTTGTTTGTTCTTCCATTCCTGTGAGTACTTGTTGCAGCTTGTGAGCACACACTGCCAAGACTTTGCAGAGCCCCGATAGCCCTCCGATCTGTATCCGTATGGTTCACAAACAAGTTTCAGTTCTTTTGAGCAGAAGTTAAAAAATATATTGCTAGATGAACAGAAATACACCACTTTATTCAAACAGTGCTTTCAGTTCACTCTTCTTTTCTTCTCACTTTAGTGCACAAATAGTGTAATTTATGCAGTTAGTGCATTGAAATGTAGCAACTTATTATTGGCCACAGTTATAATTTTGATTGACTGCATTTACTATTGCTTCTGTTTTTCAATGAAAGAAATTGGAAGCTCAATGGCCCATTGGTAGGCCAGTCATTTTAAATCAGTTTAAACTTTGTTCAAACCCAGTAACATTTATTTCCCCTCCTTGTTGAGGTTCCAAAGCCACACAAATTATGAAATGTGTCATGCTGAATTCTGGGGAAATCAATGAAGGGCCTTATTTAGCTAGATGGAAAATCACTGCACAGTCAGCTCTTGGACTGCATTTGGCACTGCAGGGATGTCCACTGCAAGTAAGGGAGCGCTCATGTAGGTGCAGCTCAATGGTGGAACACAGAGTTGGAACACTGTCCTTCAGCGCACAGTTGGTCAGACGTAATCTTTTTTTAAAATCTGATTGGATCAAAAATGTTGAAATAGATTCAAATTTTTCAGGATTGTGGAATGAGACAACCTTATGTAATCCACTCTTTTATCATTACTGTTATTATTACTCTGTTATTTTGAGCACACAGTTATTTCAGGAATTTAGGATTGAGAAAACTTGGATCCAGTTTTATTTGATGTAGCATAATTTATGAAATATCCATTAATCACATCATTCTAATTATAATGACACCATGAACTGAGATAATCCCAAGCACATTTTCTCTTCCTTAGCAGATGAAAGTGCGCTGAAGACATTTTCATCTGGTAAAGATAATGAAAAAAATTGTTAAATGAAGAAATCTGAATCGTTTTTTTTTAATTGAGTAATGAACTTTTTTTTTATTTATACAAATCAAAAAAAAATAAAGTATGCACTCATTTGTTAGGATAATTATACAGGCAGAAAAGTGGGATTGAATACTTGATCCTGGATTGTGAAATGTGAGATTTCAAATCCAAATTATTCTGATCTATATTAAACTTTCTGAACAACTGAAGCCAGAAGCTAAAGTATTTGTATTTAGTTGTAGTTCACTTTTTTTGCGATTGCAACATGCTTCCAATGAACTTTAGGGGCGAGGAGGAGGTTGGAGGTCATGTTCACTTAATTCATATCCTGTGGGTCACTAGATAGAACAGCTCACCAGAGAACAATTATCGTGTGTGTGTGTGTGTGTGTGAAGGTAGCTGGGTGTATATGCTTCTGTGTATAGGGTGGGGGGAAACAAGTTGTAATTTAGTGCTAGTGACCTTTGCTAAAGGACGGTAGCTGGATTAAAATGTTTCCCTCATTGCTAAATATATAGAAGACAGAAGCCACACACGGCACAAGACACATGTAGACTTATGGTATATCTAATTCTGATGCATTCGTGTTTTGGATGATGCATATATTCCTGCACATGATTTACGGCTGTATTATTAGTCTAGAGGGTAATTAAAGGTTAAGGAAATAATCTAATCAACTCCAGTTTCATGCACACCAGAGTCTTTGCTGTTAGTGTGTCACTCTCCAGATGAGTCATCTAAAATGAATGCCACTCAGAAAATGACAAAAAATACCAGTGAGTGAGGGAGTGACTGAATGCTAATTTTGAAGAAATATATTGCACAACGACTGGAGCTGCAAAAGAAAACTTCTTTGAGCACAGCCAGTGATCAACAGCTCTGTTTGCTGTAACTATGCTGTATCTCCAAATGTCTTCCTGGAAATATATTTGGATGTGAGCTGTTTGTATTAGATTAGATAAGCTGCATTAGTGAAGATACGGAATTTTAATAGAGCACATTTGTTTTATGTTGGCCAACAACGGCACATTAGTTGTCAGTCCGCACTTGTTTACTGGCAAACAACACTATGTGGATTATTCTCGGACTTTGATAGGTCCACAGCGGGAAACAAGCAAAAAAAAAAGCAAAAAAAAAGAGTGAATTCTTTCAGAAAAATTGCTGTTTGGAAAATCAGACTCAGGGAAATACTAAGAGGCAATCCTTTCTTTTTTATTTTATTATGTAGTTCTTTTTAATGAAAGCTCTACAGTTTTTAGAAAGTTTATTGTTAAATCGTTGCTTAACATAAGCAGGTGAAAACTAACAACTGAATAGAAATGTTATTTTAAATGACCCAAAAGACTCTTCTATGAGTTGAAAAGCATTCTTTTCAAAAGATTTTTGTTTGGTCCGGCTTCTTTTAAATAACTGATTTATTTTAGATACCTAAATGCACTTTCAGGCCATAAAACTCTGAAACCAAATAATAAATGTTGATTTCTATCAGTTTTTACATGTCCAATTCTGTCTTTTCAATCTTGTTTGAGTTTTTTTTCTTCTTCCTCCATTTCCATGTTTCTGTTTTTCCACTTTACTTTACTTCTCCCTGAAGTAAACTCAGGGATTCGGCAATTATTCAATGTAAGCTCCATCTGTGACCGTTGTCTCTTTGGAAATCACATTTTTCGTTGCACACTTTTTCTCTCTCGTTTGCACACAAGCACACACTAACCTAAGAGTCGAACTATGTTTGGATGGTCAAATGCGGCCATGAGTGCTGCCTCTCTCTGGAAGTCATTCTGCATGTCAGCTGAAGCTTCCTCCTTCAACATCTTCACAGCAACCATTGTGAAAGACTCCATGGGTAGCAGGCCTGGAGCTCTGAAACAGACACAAACAAAGATATTCATGAACTGAGCACGGAAATATTATATTATCAGTATTTGTATTGTATTGTTAATGTTTTTGTCACTAATGCATAAACCAGACTTTTGTTACCATATGTTTCAAAAGTGTATTTTAGCTTTACCCAAAAGTGTCTAAGTAAACAACACAGCTATTTAAGCGTTAGAAATATGAATGAAACATATATATGAACACATATTTATACTAATAGGTCTACAGAGAAATACTTCCTCTGTTGGCTCAGGTGCAAAATGATGTTTCCTAAAGTAGATATAGTTGGGACAATAATATTGATACAAACAATGATATCCCACACACACATCCTGTAGAGTCACACAAAAAACAGACTGAAGCGCTGATGTCAGAGAAGTTATTTTTTTCCTTAGGTCTATTTAAGTATCTTTCACGTGGCTGTGTGTGTGTGTGTGTGTGTGTGTGTGTGTGTGTGTGTGTGTGTGTGTGTGTGT